TCCCTGGGAAGAATCATGGCCGCCGCCGCCCTGCCCGAGGAGGCGGGCGCGACGCCCGCGGTTGGGAGGCGGAGGCTGGACAGGCTGCCGGCGCTCCGCGCGGGGGGACCGGCGGCGCCGTCGTGGGCGGCCCTGGAGGCCGAGGCTTGCGCCCGACCAAGGGTAGGTTGCCGACGGGCGAACGCTGTGGTAGGCTGGCTGTTGCAGTGTTGGATGTGTGTGTGTGTGCGTCTTGTATAATAGCATCAACCGAACACACGGCTGTAGGTATGTACCGGGCACGTTCTTATGTGCGCTCTCCCGTTCGCTTGCTCGTCATCCCCGCCCGCCGCTCGGACCCATGCACGCACGCACACCGTTTTTTTCGTTCGTGCGCGCTTCGCTTTCGCGGGACGGCACATTAGACGTGGAGCAACCCGGCGCTGGTCCGTCGGTTCGAGGAGCTCGCCGGCTTCCGCCTGGTAGGGGAGGATGGGCGGCTGACACTCGGCGGCTTCCCTGGCTGGACGTTCGACGACGTCGCGGCGGGGGCCCCGGGGTTGCAAGATTCGGCCATGGGGGGGGGACGCGCCGTGTCGAGGCGCGCGTTCAGACACGCGGAGAGGCTTGAGGCGCTGGAGAGAAAGAGGACTGCGGGAGGCTCCGCCGTGGGAGAAGCGGAGGGGGAGGGGGTGGAGGGGGTTCCGCCGACTGTCAACGGCAGCAGCGGCGGCGGGGACGGTGGCGGGAGCAACGGGGCGATGGACGCGCCGAGGCTGAACGGGCTCCTGCGAATGCCGAGCCTGAACACGCTGGACTACACGCCGAGCTTGGTTTTCGCCCCGCGGTTCGAGGCGTCGAGATTCTTGGCGGACTTGCTGCTCCTGTCCTGCAACAGGGAGGATTACCGGGTGAGGAGCAGCGATTGGTTCGACGTCATTTTGGCCAGTTTGGGTGGGAAAGTATTTTTGGCGACGTTAAGTTAAGCCAGTTTGTCGAGGCGCTACTACTGCTGTACGGTTTATTTCGCCGCCCGTTTACGTAAGAGAAGGGATTTAAACGCCCCTGACGGGTTGTTTTTTGCGCCCGTATGTCTAGGGACGGTCTTATCGATAGACTTTTGTTGGAAACAAAGGCGATAGGTAACAGACACTCGCACACTATTTTTGAAATGTTGTGCTCTCGCCTGAATGTGAGGACAAGGTCCATCGAGAAACGCGTTTTTTGATGGGTGGAAAATACGACAACATGTACCACACCAGAACTCACACTCGGCATTTTGTGCGCCAACATTTGTTGCACCAGGCAAGGAAGATCCAGAGCCTGGACAGGCTGGACCAAAACCCGGCGGGCTTTAAGGACAGACGGAAGCCCCGCCTCGAGGGACAAATCGGGGCTTCCATCGACGGCGGATTGGCGTTGCTGGTAGCGGCCTCGCTCAAACGCCTGCAGGACGAGCGCGAGGCCGGGTGGGCGGTAAACTCTGACGCCGTCGAGGGTGGCGGGGGCGGCTTGTTTTCGGGAGGTGGTGGCGGTGGTGCCAGCGGCAGCGGCGGAGGCCAAGAGAAGCAGGCGGCGTCGGCGTCGGCCGCAGCGTCGATGTCGTCGGGCTTCACGCTCGACCAACTGCACACGGAACTGCACCAGCTCCTTGCTGTCAAGGTTTGTTTGTGCCGCGGGGGCGTGTGTTTGCTCTCTGTTGCTAGCATCGGCCGCGCGACCCGATCGTGACCAATGGAAATTCGTCAGTCTCAGCGTGGTTGAAAACATGAAATGATTTTATATGTAGGCTACTATGATCCAGGGTGTGCGCACTTCCTTTAATCTGCGACGTCGACCGCGTTATCGTCACCAGCCGGCCGCAATGGAAATACGGCAGTGTTTTTTTCGCGCGGCTGTTTTGATCCGCACTCGTAGAAATAGACCAGACCGTCTTTTTGTTCTGCACAGTGGCACCACCACCACCATGACCACCGCCCAGCAATCGGTGCCGGATGGTGCCACATACACGCCAGCACCCAAACCCAATAAACGTCAACACGGGTTTTTTAAAACACGCACACAAACGTCATCCTTCCCGACAATTTTTCTTGTCCTTCAGGTGTCAAGGGCGGTGGCGCTCCAGGGCATCGTGGCCGCCCCCGGAGTCGTCCGCGGCGCCCACGAGAGGTGTTGGTGGGCATACCACCCCGACGCCGTGCGCAGCGCGATTGTCGGCGTTGGAACGGAAGGGGAGGAGGAGGAGGAGGAGGAGGAAGCACAAGTTGCCGAGATTCGGGGCTTTTTCACCAGGTATGCATGCTTTTGACAGTAAGGGATGTTCTTCGTTCCGGAGACATGTGATATGGTGCATATCGTTCGACAGCGGGGGGGGGGTTAGTCTGCGGGTTTTGGTGTAGACTCTTGCCTTTGTCTGTGATTGCAACCACCGGAGGCACGTGTGTTTCGTTGTTGCTGTTGTAGTGCGTGCGGCTTGTGACGAGGTCCACGAGAGCGTGCGAAACGAGCCATCACAGAAAACGGTGGAAGAGTTGACACATGCAAAGGACGAACGACGCAGCCTGCTCGAAATGACCCGTGAGGTCTGGTGTACTGCGAGTGCTGTTTTCATTTCTTGTAGCGTTGATCATACACTCCCGCCCGTAGGCGCCCATCAGAACAACATGAGCTTTGTCCAAGTTGTAATGTTTTCATCCCCATGCCATCTATTGCGGGCAGCACCAGTCTACACCGTTCGGAATGTGTGTTGACGCATCGAACAACCGGGGTCCCACAATAGCGGACGGCCACCTTTTTGCCCTGTTTCTCGTCTGCGGTTTCAATCGATCGGACAATTTCTGAATGGTGCCAGCTCCCTGGTGGTATGTACAAACAAAACTCCAAAGGGAGAGGCCCTCAGAGACACGTTGCCCCTGAATTCGATCAATGCAACCGCAACGAGGAACCAACACCAAGGGGCCTTGGGCCCGAAGTACACCGCCCAGAGTCTCGCTTCTGTAGTATGTTCTGTCTTACATCCATCTCGTATCTTCCTGAACCCCCTCGCCCCTAGAGAAGTTATTCCGAGCCACCTTCGGCAAAGTAGGAAGGGATGATTGGTGATCGCTGACCGAATGCTCCGTCTTCTCTAGGACGCGTTGTTTATTGGTCAAACCGCTAAGCCATGCAAAACGCCCCCGCCTCTTCTCCCGACACAGGGCCTTCAACCTTGGCCGCCCTAAGGCGGGGGACACCGAGTCTGCTCGCCAGACAGCGAGACAGCCTCAGCAGGCGGCGGCAGCGGCGGCCCGAGTCTCACAGAGACCGCCCGCTGCGGCCGCCAGTGCTGCTGACGCTAGAATACCCGTAGCACCGCACGATTCGCGGCCGGAGCTTGCAACGCTGGTAGAGGACGGCGTGGTCTCAGCCGAAGAAAGAACATGACGATGTCATATGTCATGCTGCTTGTGTCCTGTTGGGTTCTTGGAGTTGCGATTCCGTTCATCTCTGAGGTGAAGTGATGCCACTACTGCTTCTGCTGTGGTGATAAATACTAAGCATTTTATTTGTGTAGGTTCTTGTTGTGATATTTTTGGTTGATAGATCCGGTTGTGGTTGTGAGTGACGTGTTTTTATTGTTGTGGCTTGTTTTTGGCCTTGTTTTGAGGCCCCGTTTCGTTTGCTGCGGTGATGTCAGGAAAGTCAACGGCGGTTATACCTCGAGGAACGTATGACTCACGAGGCTCAGGGGGGCTGCAGTTCAGTCAGCCTGTTCTATTTTGCAAGCGACGATGTGCGTGGGTGTATTTTACTCTTATGAAGAACAATAGTGGCGTTTTGCGTACATCATAAAATCCTCAACGTTCTCGAGGAGGGAAAAACGTGTGCATGTCAGGAAAGGATACGGAGAGGTCGCAAGGATGGCATGCTTCGGTGAGGCTCCTACAGATCAGGTAGTTAGTTGTTCATGGGCAGGTCTTCCCCGGGGCTGCGTGCAGACCACGATTTGTATTGATATATGTAGAGTGTGGAAAACCAAAACTGGTTTGGTTGACCTGGACCGCGCCGTTCGTTGGTGGTTTCGAGCGTGTTTCGTATGTCAAGCTTGCAAGACTTTTCGCGCCAGACCATTCGGTGGCCTCTCATCGCTATAGTCTAGACCTTTGCCTCAGAGCCCTAGCATTGTGGCAGGAGTCGTGTTGTCCCGGGGACTGACTGTCAAAGAAATCCTCATTTTGTTGCGGCTCACGGGTCGTTTTTGCGGGCGAGATGCGTTTTTGCTGCCACTTGTTTCTGCCGAGTTCAGAGCGAAAGGGACAGCCAACGTGACCGCGAACAGGTATTTGATCAAGTGGAGATGCCCGCTACATAGATAGAACAAGGGGCTGCGATTTTGCTCGAAACTTTCCCATCGCTATTTTGCTGTTTTACGATGCTATGAAGATCAAGAGAGTCGCCACCATCTCACGCGATACAGCACGCGTCAACCATGTCGCAAATGCTTGCTGTTGTTGTCAACGAGAAGCACGTCGGTATTGTGACGTGCAGTTGCCACATGTCGACCTTTGAGTATTTTTTTCGCGTAATAACGACTCCCGGAATCAAGCCAACGGGTTGGCGCCCATAGAGATAAAATTGCACGCAGTCCGCGACTACCGCTTACTCGGTTTTCATCACCCAAGATGCCCCCCCGCGGATTCGAACTATTAACCCCGCGGATTCGAACTATTAACTTTGTCGCTGGCTGATTGTCAAACGCGGGCCAACTATGTATAATAGTGTCATAATGTGAATCTTCCCGAATGATCAGCGCCACTTACCGACCGATGTCACTACCACCATATGATCTTAACCTACCACAGGCACGACTGCCGTAGCAGCCGCCGCGAAATAAAAATAGAATAAAACTCAATTTACAAGGGTGTTCTTGCTCTCGAGTCAGTATCACTGCTGCTGTGGCACAAGGTTCTCGTCCGCGAGAGGTATGGAAGAAGTGAAGGCCTTCACTCCCGTTGTTGCCTCTTCACCTTCTTCTTGTGGTCTTGTGGCTTGGATCGGTTCGAACAGAGACGACGCACCCCCGGTGCCTTGCGAGTGGCTTGCATGTGCTCCCTGGGAACAGACGTTTGTAGTACACTTGTTTTTCGTGCGTTGGAAGAAGGGGGCGATTTGGCTACCGGGCGAGCGCCAGGGGCTGGCCACTTGGGCTGCCAGAAAAATGATGGAGGGCGATTGTCTGTCTCGTGCGCCGCGGAACTATTCTCATTTTCTCTCAGCAACAACAAAGCCCGGTTTTTCAGCCACTCACTGAACAGACTTCAAGACATCCTCTTGGATTGCTGTGGTGTCTCGTCGCCACGTCACACGCCCAAGAAGGTTTGAAGCACGCTGAGATGTTGTACGCTAGAGCACTCGGAACGGAGACGAAGAGTGTCAAGAGGGATGGAGTCTAGAGGGCAGTCACATGTGTCTGCCACACGGCCCCGGATTTGCGAGCATGGACTCGTGCGAGAAAAGAAAACGTCAAATCTCAAACCCCATCGGGCACTTCCGGCGGGAAGAAAAACACCTTTTGTCCGATGGAGGTGGACGTAAAAGCCTTGCCTTATGCAGAGGATATCCGGTTGCGTTTTTTGCATGGCCTTGACTTTCTCTTCCTTGCTCGCGGCCTTATGCCCGTTGGCAGCAACTCACATCTATCTTACTTCTTTTTCTTCATGTCACACTCGAGATGAAACGCAGTTGTTGAAGTAGGTTGGGCACGGCCAATCCCCCAACACATCGCAAAAACTAACGGTTAGCGAGTATTGCGACACCACGTTGAAACAACCAACGCAATTCGCCCATCCATGGGAGTTTGTTCATCGCGTCGCATGTGATTCTATCGCACCTAGTTTCTTCCACCTCGTTCTTCCTCACACCTACAACACGACACAGCATCGAGCCATAGGACAACCTATTAATAGAACCCCCCCCCCCCCCCCCGCAAACCTCGTAGAGGAGCAGCACGGTTGCCCGAGTCAAGTTGCGATGCCAATGTAGATACATAGCGAAATGGGTGGGCAATGATGAAACATGAAGGCGTAGACAACAAAGGGCGGCAACTGTGCCTGTCGTGTACACAGACTCGTGAAAAACAAATGGAATTTACTACCGCTGTATTCTTGATTACATTACATAATCTACCGCGTCCTGGACGGTTGATCGAAATACAGGCAGAGATGGGTGATCAGCGCCCATTAGCACCCCGCATAACGTGGCACTCCTTTCTCCACCTCCGGTGCGAGAGTCCAGATGGCGCGAGGGACTTCAAATGTGCTGCAGTCGTCATCCATCCGTAGACTCGTCTCTGGCGCCGAGCGATCGGAAGGTGCTCTTCTGGAATCTCGGCCAGTAGTTCTGCTCCGGACACACGAGCCTGGATCCTCCCCCCCCTTCACGAGTTTCCCTCACATCATGCGCTTCGGCAGTCGCCCCTGCGGACGGTGGCCTTCGCGGTTCGGCATCCTTTGTAGGGTCTGACATTGAGAGAGCTTCGAAGCGGCGGTCGAGATCGTTCTTGTGCAATTCAGCGAGTCAGCGTGGATGCCGCCTTCCTCGAATCAAGTATTCACCGAGGAGAAGCCCGGAGCGAGGGCGAGGGTAGCGACACCGCCGGAAAAAATGCGGAGGGCGGTTTCATATCGAGATCATCCGAAGGGCTGGCGAGGATGATGTCACACCAGGATCGAATCGCTGTAATGTTTGGTTTCATGAGGTCTCATGAGGTACCATGAGATCTCACAAGGTATCATGACGCGTAATGAGATCTCGCAAGGTCTCATGAGGTATGGCAACGCACCATGAGGTGTTTTGAGAATATCTTTGACGCACGGCATCGTACATTTTCAGTGGCCGACACTATTGGAATTTTGCGTTGGATATCCAATGAACGTCCCATTGGACACGTTGGACACGTTGGATGTCCAATCGGACATATTGGACTCCAATGGGGCACCATTGAACGTACGTCCAAAATCCCATGGGATACTGAGGACGCCCCATTTTGACGTGGGACGTCCAACGGGACGCTGCATGGGAGGTCCCACGTATTCGGCCGATGAGATGCCTTGGATGCCCCAGCTGGATGCCCTACGCGATTTAGCACCCAGACGCATGTAAGCCAAACAGATGAAGGCGATAGTACGCATAGATAGGATGCGGCTTCACTCGTGAACTTGTGTTTCCTACTAGGTCACCCTAATGGCGGCGTGATGAGGGTTCCGTCCGTCGGCGCTGGCGTCCAATGGGAAGGCCAACGTCTCCCATTTGATGGGTTGGGCGTCCAATGGGACCCTCGTGGGATGTCCAACGGCGTGTCCCGTCGCGTCCCACGCCATTGGACGTCCAACGTGTCCCAATGGACGTCTAACGTATCCCATTGGACGTCCCACGTCCAAAGTGGACGTTCCACGCGTCCCATGGGACGTCCCACGTCCAAACTGGACACCCCACGCGTCCCATGGGACGTTTTAGACGTCCAATGGTGGTGTCCCATTGGATGTCTAACGTGCCCCATGGGACTTATTGGATGTCTCGTTCGGGAGTGGGACGTCCAATTCGGACATCCGACGTGAACTTCCAATAATGTCAGTACCCCTCTACATTTCAAAGGACTCTTCAGAGAAAGCAAATGGGCCGAATGGGAACACAAAATTCGATATTTTTCGGTCTCGTAACATGTCACAAGTATTGTGAACTACAGTATTTGATAAGTCGCTGAAGATCCGCGGGCTCGATCTCTCTTCCGTTCTCTACTAGCAATCACGCCAACCGAACGCGTACATACCTCTTCTCCTGTTCACCTTTCCGGGGTTGTGACTCCTTGCCAACAGCGCTGCAGGGATGTATAGGTGTACCTCTTCGGGCTTGTGTACCCTTTTCTTGCTAGTTTGCGTGTTCTTTAGATCTTCTGATGGCTCTAGCATTTTTGTGACCACGGACCGCGTCATTCCTAGATTTCGGGATTAGCAACAAACTGACGCGAGTATAAT